ATTCTGAAGCTAATACATGCATATATACCTGTTATTCTTGTGTTTTTTTGTTATTTTTTTATTTGGATAACGTGATGGTGGCATGTGTCAGTGTATGAAGTTTCTTTTCATTTTGTTGGCTTTTAAGTGTAGAGCTGTGATGTGCGACTGATATATTTTGAGGAAGTTTAAGTATCCTTAACAAAAGCAACAATAATTGTGAACAAAAATGCCAGTGTCTAATGAATTTATAGGTTTCCATAGAAGAACTCATCAGCTCAATACTCCTCCTCTACAAACAGTGTTATTCATACAAATTTTTGTTTCAGATTGAATACATACAACCACGTGAATGTTGTAACATCGAATAAGTATCGATTTCAGCAAATATATGATCTTTCAGTGGTGAGTGATTATCTGTTAACGTCATCATTAAGTGAAGTATGTTCGTCAAAGCATGTATTAACAGATAAACTGGAGTTATTGTGATAGAATTAATACAATTATAAACATTTAGATATTATAATAATGCTGTTGAAATGCAAGGAAACTTCGTAGAAAACACAAATAAACAGATTTAACACATGCAAAGCATTTAGGACTAAATGAAAAGATTTTAACATGTCTGATCTAACCTCATATGATAGTTTGTACACTCCTCACTAAGATTGTGGTGAGAGCTGTCTACTAGCCAAATTGGTAGACAGTAATTTACGTCAATATTTACGTTCCCAAGATTTGTCGTGAGAAAATGTGAACAAAGATTGATTCAAAACCGACCACAGCAGACTTTGCGTAGACGGATGCAGTTAACATATAGAGGATTTGACATTCAAGAAACAGTCACAAATAGATGAAAGATTAACTTTACGTGAGAAACAACCAATCGGAAGACTGTGTTTGTTTGCTTAAATATCCATAGTAATGTACATAAAATATATAAATATGCGTTGATTTCCTTAATAAATGATCTGTTGCCCGGCCCTTGTCTTCTGTTGTTACAAGATTAACACTCAACTATGGTTTTCCGTTTTGCACGTATCCTAATAGAGCTGACAGAATATTAATGATAATGGTAAAAACCCTGTGAAGAGATGAAGGAAATCATTCAGCTAAATTTATAGTAGGATAGCAGGCTGACTACTGTCTCCTTTTGTTTCTATAAATCGGACTCTCTTTAATGTGATTATGTAGGCTTCAACAAAACCAAGAGCTTTTTTATCCCCTTGCTTTTTCATAATAACTACAAAGCTTTTAGTCAATCTTGTCAAAACCAGGATCGGAAAGGCAAGATACACCTTAATCGACTTGAAACCAGTTTGGAAATCATCTGCACTCATTCGGCATAAAGAACAAAATTCGGATTTTCAATACAAATGTGAATTCAGTCAGTTCTTCTATATAAGTCAGAAACTTGCGTGGATTTCCAACAGCCTGTTGCAGACTTTTATCAACAACTGCCTTTGCTGGCTCAATGCTGAAGAACGAATGGCCAGAAAGAATAAACATCATGAAACTCTGGCTGGGAATAAACCAACGAAGAGCCGATCGCTCAATAGATATGTAGGATAAAGTGGAGATGGATCGGGCATTCGTTGAGGAGGTTGTCGAATGACATCGTGCGCAGTGCAGGCCATTGGTCGAGTGGAACCCAAATGGGAAGCTACAAGTGGGTCGTTGATGTGAGGGTGACATGGAGGAGATCGCGTGGCGAGGAGGAGGAGATGATAGATTATAGTCACTCGTTGACGCAGCTAGAGAGGACAGCAGAGGATAGAAGAAAGTGGAGATGTTCCACTGGGAACCCAAGGGAATAATATTTTTACTCAACGTCACCGTATGATCACATTCCAATAAATGTCGTGTGACTGACCTGCTTGGACTATGATCATACGATGATGTTAAGTAGGAGCTTCACGGTTATTAATAAGCAAGGTAATGAAAAAGGTCTTGGTTTTGCTGCTGCCTGTGCTATCATGGAGAGCAGTTAGCTTAAATCTACCATGGTAGCGTACTCTAATTTTCCTCCCCTTCTATTTACAATGTTTTTTCTATTATTATTATTATTAGTAGTATATATGACATACTATTAGTTCTATCAGGATATGTGCAAAACTAAAAATCACAGTTGAGTATTGATCTTATTGAGGAGTGTACAACTATCTTGCGGGTTTAGATCAGACATGTTAAAGTCTTTTCATTTAGTCCTGTATGGTTTACATATGTCAAATCTATTTATTTGTGTTTTCTACGAAGTCTCCTTTTATTTCAATAGTATTATCATTAAATCTAAATGTTTATAATTGCATTAATTCTATCACAATAACTCCAGTTTATCTGTTAATACATGCTTTGATCAATATACTTCACTTAATGATGACGTTAACAGATTATCACTTATCTTGAATTAATTGTGTTCTCTGAGCTGGTCGGTTTACTTGGGAAGCTTTCGTCGTCCTCCTTCTTGACAACATCTTCAGCACTTTTTTTTAGTATAAAATGAACTCATTTGAATTCTCCATGAATGGTGATATAATTGTATCTCCTGGCGACCATCTTCGTGACTGGTGATTGATTTACATCTCTATTGATTATTTTTATTGACTTGGAATTTGAACTTTCTTGTCACCTGATTTGCTTTTTATTGGGTGGTAAATTTCGTTTACATTAATATGTTTGTTAATCGCTGGCTGATTCATTTGAGTACCAGGCTTCTAGAAATTCCCTGGTATAACTCTTGGTGTTTCGTCTATTTAAAATTTCCACATTATCCCAATCAAATTGGTGCCCATAATTATATACATGCAATGATAGGAAAGAATATATATATATATATATATATATATATATATATATCATGACCTTTTACAGCTCATTTGTGTTCTTGGATTCGGATTCGAAGGGGACGCCCACTTTGGCCGATGTAATGTCTGCTGCAGTTCGTACAATTTCATTTGTAAATGGTATTAATTTTATCTTCTTTTCCTGCGCTGAAGATGTTATCAAGAAGGATGGTGAAAGCTTCGCAATTAAATCAACCAGCTCAGAGAATAAAACGAATTCCAAATCATCCCTCTGAGCTACAAACCTACTTTATCATTTCAAGATTATCAGTCATCACTGATAGATCATATATTTTGATTGGACACCAGTAACTAGTGCGACGTGTCTAGTCTTTGTTTGGTGCAGACTGAATTCCATCAGTCAGGTTTGCAATGTGGCCAGCATTATAAGTAGCTTGCCATCACGATGCACATTGATTTGATGATATTAGATAGTTGGAGGCACGTAGATACGCCTTGCTGACTGGTGAGTGCCAACTAGCACGAAACCCACGTCCAAGGCTTCCTGCCAATTGCCGCACTAGTTACGAGTGTTCAATCAAAATACCCACTACAGTCCTACAGGAGGTGATTCGAGAACCCGAATAACTCAGTGGCAACGCCTATGACTGCAGCACTCACTGGGTGACGCGGGTTCGAATCTCAGAAGGGACATGACTTCCTTCAAGGTTGCACGATACGTCTTGCTCACTGGTGAGTGTCAGCTAGCACAAAACCTAGTGTAAGGCTGGGCTTCCTACCAATCGCCTCCAACTATCTAAGATCATATATTTGCTGAAATTGATACTTATTCGATGTTACAATATTCATGTGGTTGTATGTATTTAACCTGAAACAAAAAATGTATGAATAACACTGTTTATAAAGGAGGAGCATTGAGCTGACGAGTTCTTCTATGGAAACCTATGAATTCATTAGGCACTGGCTTTTTTGTTCACAATTATTGCTTGTATTAAGGATACCTAAACTTCCTCAAATATATCAGCCACACATCATAGCCGTACACTTAAAAGCCAAGAAAATGAAAAGAAACTTCATACACTGACACATGCCACCATCACGCTATCCAAAGAAAAATAACAAAAAAACAAGAACAACAGGTATATATGCATGTTTTAGCTGTGGAATTACTACAGTTATCCATGTAGTATATATGATCTACGGAACCATAGCTGATTTAATGAGCCATTCGCGGTTTCACCGTTTTAAGGTATGTACTTAGACATGCATGGCTTAATCTCTGAGACAAGCATATGACTACTGGCAGGATCAACCAGTTTATTCATCACACAGTGATACACCCATTCATTGACTGGGTATTGGTTTTCAGGAGGACCAAACACACCCATCCACTCGAGAGCCCTCTCCCTCGGTGGACCATTCGCACTGTTACTATACATAGTAATGCATAGATAAGCATTGTTACGCCGGTCATTGATCGCGTCAATCAATTATGCACTGCATAGACAAGCCCAACAGAACAAACTCATCTCGCGTACAAGACCAGCAAAACGTATTATTATATGCAAAAGTAGCACGCATAGCGTCGCTACTATGGTGACAATAGGCCCCTATAAACGAAGCCAGCAGCCACCAAAATTCAATGAAGTCGTTATCCCTGCCAACCAATTTAGCATGCAAATAGCTTCTATACGTCTGCCAAGACTATAGAAAACCATACACAGTCATATAAGCGAGCCATGAGCACTAGCTAACTCACGCTTATATCGTCTATATAGCTTATACTGTGTTTACTATAGGATTTTAGGGTTATAAGCAACAACAACGTGCGTCGGTGGTATAGCGGTTAGGACGCTCGCCGACCATGCACATGGTCCGGGGTTCGATCCCCGGCCGCCGACGCACTCCTTTACCTCGCTGAGCCAGAAATAATAATGCTGGTGAAGAGGAAAGGTTGGGCATGAGGCTAGCAACCCCATCCTGAAAAATAAACACTGCTACAGAAACTTCAAGTCACTAGCTTGAAGCCCTAAGTTCCACTGGGGAACGTGAAGGAAAAAAAGCAACAACAACAGGTACTGTACTGAAATTAACAACTTCTATTTATAATACACATTATATAATATACAAATAATAAGAAAGTAAAATGAATAAATTATACATCTACAAGATAGATTGAAAAAAATGTCCTACAGTAATTATACATTAGCATAAGTTTTATTGACATACAGGCAATTGTTTTTGTGTGTTAGTCTCAACTAATAATTTACTGACAACATTTTCACCGAGTAGTTCAGCGGCTACATCGACAGTATCAAGACGAGTTAATTGTAGACGATAATGTCCATCGTTTGATATAGTGTAAGTGAAGCGTGCATGACCAGATGGACGAGATAAGTGGTGTACATTTACTAAATGCTTAGATAAATCCCAACCTGTAAACAAATAGACAATACACTGGATTATTTGAATTTAAAAGAGAAGTGTACACGAGAAACTTTTAATATTTTAACCTTAAAGTTAGTTTTAAAAAAAGGCAGATGCCCGCACTATTTGTAAACAATGTCAGCACTCTCTCAAACTGTCAACATGTATTTTAATACCTAAGATAAAAATTTATAGAAAAGAAAAATAAATTCTATTTTAGATTAGTAAAATTTTCAAGTATTGGTTTTGTGGGGAATTTTGTTTGATTGGTTGGAAGATTTCATCATGAACTGACATCAGTTAGAGAACCATTGGAAAACCACCTGGGAGTACTGGGCAGCTGTTTCGTCCTGGTTTGGGACTCTTCATCTGTACTCAACCAACAGGGTTCGAACCCAGGATCTTCTGGCTACAAGGCAAGCGAGCTCGTAGACCAATAAACCAGTGGGACCTGATCCAATGGCCGGTCCATGAATTTTAACTTCTGCCAATTCATGACATAGCGCAACCACTTAGCAATGTCTCCTTCGATGAGTTACTGCCTCATCTTCAACCTGATGCACCCTACTGGTCACGGCCTTCCACTAGAAGTGCCTGAATAGGCTCAGTCACTTGAGATACTGCCCGGGCGCCCAGACCGAAGCAGGTGGTTTTCTTAAGGGACCAATCCGAAAGCCTTTGACTTGGAGTCTAATCCACAAGGTAGCAGAGCAGCATCTGGAGCTACGTCCCCATGGTTGCCGGTGATCAATATAGGTTCATACGCCATTTGATCTGATTGGATTCTGAAGCCCATGTACCCCATGGTAACTACTTTTAGTCTAACCGCCATCCAAACAACCTTCCTGACATGGTAGGACCTGCAGGAACATGAGTTCCAGCCAGTTTAGCTTGTTGGGTTACTGTGGTATTCAAGCCCGACCACCACAACAAGGTAGCAGTTGTCGGCCGTTGCTTACTATCCCTACATGATTCTTCGTTGTGTTCAGTTGAGAGATACAACCTAGTAACTATACATAAGTTAGTCACTTAAGCAAACAACGCACATACTTCCTAAATGGAAACTGATAGTACCAAATAATTGCCCAAACTCAAGCAGATGAGGCAAGGACTAAACACATGACATGCAAAAAGCTGTTATGATGATGATGTCGCCATTCTTATATTTTGCACAGATTGGACTAAACTGGTTATTCGAGAAATCTGTAAAACGTTGAAGAATCTAACAAACCCGTCGCCAATATGCTATGATGTCGTCACTTTTAAACTTTGCAGAACATTGGAGTTGGAACAGATGGATGCTGAGCTGGACACGAATGGGGTGACCACGAATATTGCTAGGCTACGCCAACAACATTATATTACGACAACTACCTGTTTCCCCTAGTCGTCTCTACTTAAGCGAGAACACACAGCAACATGAGTCACAGTATCCGTATGGGTATACTTACAAAAGGAAACAAATATATATATATATATATATATATACATGGCCGATGGTGTAGGCACGGGAGATAACCATAAAAGGGTGTATAACCATCTATGGCTTATTTCCGGACTAACCTTGATCACCATATTACCATACCAGGTTAATCCACTGTTTATCTGACTACACGTAAAAAAATGAGCTTGGTTCTACATGACAGTAGTGGATTTAAATGGCTAGTTATTAACAGGTATTTACATGATTGACTGACTGGTTTCAACGTAGAACTTTGCACAGATGTGTAGCAGTTCGAGTTGCCACACTCCCTCCATGTAGCACACAAAGCAAGAGAAGAGAGTAAACAGAGATTTAGAAGAGAGATAATAAATAGAAGTGTGAGGGGGAAAAGAATAGTAATATGGGAGAAAAGTGGATTTTTATTGGATATTGTAAATTACAAATAGTGAATACATCTGCGCCAGTCATTGAGAACGACTTTGAGACATATCACCGATTGTCTCCAGCCACTAGTTTTTCCTACCTCGAGGACCCCGACCAGGAAGTCTACACCTCCCAACGTGGCTTAAACTAACACCGGTAGCTGCTACCTTGACGTGGTGGTCAAGTTTGCATATCTCAATGACCCAACACAAGTTACACTGGCTGGAACTAACGTTCCTTCAGGTCCTACCATGCCAGTAAGAATGTTAGGATAGCGATTAGACTAGAAGCAGTTACCGGCATAGTATAAGATTTTTCTTACACTATGCTGGCGGTCTGTGGGGATGTAACAGCAGTAAGGTGTTTCCTTCAGATGACCAGAATACCAGCTCTGCTGCCTCTCCACTCTGGAGAGAGAGGGTAAGGAAAGGTCGACCCCAAAAAGTGTACATCCCGACTCACCCTACGGTTACCGGCGGTAAGTTACTAATACCGAACCAATCCAAAAAGCCAGCTCAGACAGGCCATGTGTGATTGGCCTCAAGCAGTTGTCCCCTATGTTCTGCGGTCACGTATCACTAATTATCTTTCTGTTTGAGGTATTTACATATGTAGGAAATAATCAAAGACACAACGGTGCATATTTTCTCCATATAATATTAAAGGCACTTTTAAATTGTTAACAGTTATTCTAATGTTACAAACAAAGTATACAAAAAAGAAACAAATTACCTCGCCGTTTAGTTGTATGACATAGATGACAAATGTACAAGCGTTCCTGTGAATTATTTGAAGAATCTTCAAAACGGTTGTTTTGTTCATCTGATGGTGTTACATTGGTTGGAAGTAGGTTATGCTTACGTCCAATATGAATAAGGTAACCATTCCGTTTATTCGTCTTGTAATCGCAGCCGTCATGAGGACAAATAAATCTATCTAATGCATATTGAGGAGTGTCAATTTCTGGAAGGGTTAATAAATCTGTATTAATAAGGGGCAGTGCACCGTGTTGAGCCAACGGTCCATGAACAGGAGCAATAGATGTGGAGTGAGAAGACCTTCTTTTTGCTAGTAAAACGAATTTAAAAAAATAGGTAATCAGTTAGCTGAAGTGTTTTAGAAATCATCAGAGAAAATATGTACTTCGACTGGATAGTAGTCAGTAGCTAGTGTAATGTGTCTAGCCCTATTTTTAGTACAAACTGAATTCTATTAGTCACGCTGGCAATGTGGCCACCGTTCTAGTAGGCTCACCATCCCGGTGCACTTTTGAATTGTTGATATTAGATGGTTACTTACTTACTTTACTTTACTTCGGCTATCTCCTACGGGAGGATGAACCGGCTTCATGAACATCTCGAATCATCGCTGCCCAGGCGCGGCGATCTGATGCAAGGTTTTGCGACAGGGTTATCCAATTCTTATTCCACAGACGGAGTCCGTAGACGGTTTGTAGCCCCAGGCACTCCATATCAGCCTTGACTGTACCAAGCCATGTTTTCAGCTGTCCACCCCTGCGACATCGTCAAGATGGTAATGGCGAGGGATTTAGAACTGATTTGACCAGATCGTCATCTGGTCAGTTCAGAACATGGCCAAACCACCGAAGGCGACGTTGTTGGAACAGTACTGGGATTTGGTTGATGTTGTAGCAACGACGACGCACTTCTTCGTTGGAGAGTTTGTCCGGCCAACGAACATGCAGAATGTACCTGAGGGTTTATGAAGTTTCATGGGAATTTGGTACGAATGATGTCCCCAGAATCGCTCGGCCTTTTGTTTGAGAGTGCAGCTCTAGCCTTTACACAACCAAGTGTGACCTACAAGGCAGTAGGAGTGGAGTAGGGAGTCCACTATCCATTGGCAGCCGGTGACCGGAGTTCGGTTCATACACCTTTTCGAATGGGGCCAGACATCCAGGACATCCAACAAGTCCTTTGTCCATACGTCTGCCGGTGAGCTCCAGTGAGCTTCATACGCCAGTCGTTGGAGGTTTGGTCTAACCCTAGACTGTCATCCAATGGATAGTCAACCCGGTGAAGAGCACCGGGCATCCGCTTTCGCCCTCTCACTTTGGTGAAAAGCACCTCCGCCACGTGAAGGCAGTGAGTAGGACTTCCTCAGGAGAGGCTATGTAAGACGCCCGGTTATATGGGAGCATTTCAAGAGGTGTGCGGAGGGGTGGCCAACCCGCAGCGCAAGGCACCCACCCCTGACCATCCTGAGGCTTTGGAGGCTATTAGATGGTTGGAGGCAATTGGCAGGAAGCCTTGAACCTAGGTTTCGTGCTATTTGGCACTCACCAGTCAACAAGGAGTATATGCAACCTTGAATGAACTCATGTCTCTCCTGAGGTTCGATGTCCACGGCTTCCTGACGATTGCCTTCAACCATCAATATCAACAATAACAATTCAAAAGCGAGACACCTAGAATGACAAGGTGTTCGAGGATGAAGCTGCTGCTATTCTTCTTTTCTTCTCTGGTTAACCAAGCTGGACAATGTTCCAGAATACATTTGTGGACTTGATGTTGAGTACGGCCGACATACTTTGCTACACGCGAGCAAGTGAATTGATAAATACATACTGAAGTGGACAAAAGCGGTATCTTATCCTTAACGTTAGACTGGATTAATTGTCTGCTGGAGAATGTGATACGTAAGGTGGCGGTAGGAAATGTCTTTTTCAGACATTTAGAAAGGCGGTTTCTAAGAATTTCTGCTGCAATGTCACCTTTCAATTCCAGGTTCATGAAGAGAGTATTATCAATTATTATCAAGAGAGTATCTATCAATTTACTTGCTCGTGTGGAGCAAAGTATATCGGCCGTATGCAACGTCCACAAACGTATTCTGGAACATTGTCCAACTTGGTTAGCCAGAGAAGAAATGAAGAACACCTAGAATGGTGGCCACATTGCAACTTGACTGGTGGAATTCAGTCTGCACTGAACAAAGGACTAGACACACTACTCTAGTCACTGACTAGTGTCCAATCAAAGTATCAAATACAGTCCTACAGGAGGTCAATCGCGAGCCAGAGCGAATAGCTCAGTGCCAACGCCTATGACTGTCTCACTCACTGGGTGATGCAGGTTCAAATCTCAGAAGGGACATGAGTTCCTTCCAGGTTGCACGATACGTCTTGCTGACTGGTGAGTGCCAGCTAGCACAAAACCTAGTGTAAGGCTGGGCTTCCTACTAATTACCTCCAACCATCTAATATCAAAAACTTATACTTTCAATGTCTCGTTTTACAGGGGAAAAAAACAACACTGTTATTTACAAAAGACACCTGTTATTTTTCATAAACAAAATGTACTAAATCTCGTGAAAATCATCACGTGTTTCAAGACTAACACCTGAAAGTAGACTGGATTTTAATCCTTTTATCTGACGGAAAATCTATAATGTATCAACCAGAAAATATGCCAATATTCACTTAACTAATAGATTTTTTCACAGATTGACTTCTGTGATTAGGAGGCAATATTACCTTAGTAACTAAGTGGACGTGTTCAATTAGTGAGCTACATTTCTTTTTCTTCTTTTTATTTTGACACTAGTACCACTATCTAGCAGGTAAAAAGGGAGGGGGGTTAAACATGTGACCTATTAAGTTAGACAATTTACAAGATTTTCCCAATTTCATATCATGTGTTCATACGGTAATACAGAACACAATTATGGCTGAATAAAAATTGAGATCTAGCTGATTAGAGATATTTTCTTTCAGACTATTTGGTAAATCAAGTATGATCACGAACTGAAATCAGTTAGAAAACCAGCATGGAGTAGTGGACAACTGTTTCGTCCCAATTTAGGACTCTTCGTCAGCACCCACCCAACCCCACCGCCAAGGTCCGAACCCCGGATCTCCCTGCTGACAAGGCTACCTCGTAGACTATTCAGCCATTAGGACGCGATACAATATTTGGCTCCTTTCTCTAGGCAGGAAACAATATTATGGTGTAAGACAACGAAGGCATCTAAAGTACATGCAAACTGTTAGGAGTCACAGAAATATCCACTAATACACTTGGGCCAAGAGACTGAGCATTTCAATCCATTCAATCGAAGTTATTTTTAAACACTCAGATTTTTCTGAGTAAAAATTAAAACAAAACAAGAAAAGAGAACACTACATAACATTTTGAAAAAAGAAGTCAAGCGCTACACAGTTAAACATAGCTTGAAAATATAAACACACAAAAATAGTTTTTATTTACAAAAAAATTTATTCAAGTGTTGGTTTGTAGGGATTTGATTGGTTACAGGATTTCATCATGGTCGGTCGGTCGGTTTTCGACATAGAACTTTGCGCCAATGTGCGGCAGTTCAAGTCGCCACACTCCGTGTAGCACACAAAGAAAGAGAAGAAAGTAAAAGAAATGTATAATATAGACAGTAAACAGAGGTGTGAGACAAAGGAGAACCATTGGAAAACCACCTGGGAGTACTGGACAGCTGTTTCGTCCTAGTCTGGGACTCTCCAACAGTACGCACCCACAGGGGTTCAAACCCAGGACCTTCTGGTTACAAGGCGAGCTCCTAGACCATTAAAAAAAATTATTATTGTACGTCCCCACTGGAACATAGGGTTTCAAGCTACAGCTTTGAAGTTTCGGTAGCAGTGGTGTTTTCAATTTTACGGGGAGGGGTTGCTAGCCTCATGCCCAACCTTCCCTCTTTACCAGTCTTATTACTGGCTTAGTGAGGAGATAAAGGAGTGCGTCGGCGGCCGGGGATCGAACCCCGGACGAGATGGGGCGTGGTTGGCGCGCATTCTACCGCTGTGCCCCTGAAGCACACAAGAATAAAAAAAAAGAAGAGAATTCTTACCGTTTAAATCAGTAGGATTACGATTGACTATTGGAATTGATGAATCAGTTAGTGCTGCATTATTGTCCTCTTCTGATTCATTCATTTTATCATGTTTAGCCTTCAGATGTCTTTCTAGAATATCGGCAACTTTGAATGCTAAAGGACAATATGGACAAGGAAATGATTTTTCATTTGTATGACGAAATAAAATATGACGTTCCAGAGCTAAAGTAAATTTCAGAAAAACAAAATATAAGAAGAGAAAAAAAGTTAAGAAGAAATCAGCATGATTAAATATTTTTAATAAGAACAGCATTCATTCTTAACATGAAATTAAGGTGAAAACTGTTTTATCTATTGTACGAACTATCACCCACAGTTACACTTGATAAGAGACTCAATTGCATGAGAACCCAGTTAACTAACTATGTATATATTTATAGATATGCTTCGTAGAGCTACTTGAATTAAAGCAAAAAGGTTAAAAAACAACAACCCAGATACAGTCTATAGAAGTTAGAAAACCAGATGGTAGCATAAAAACAAAAAATTTGCATAGAAAAAGTACTTGGACAGGACAATTTACACATTTTCACAGCTTCTTTCTTATCAATTACAAAAGAAATTTAGTGAAGACCCTCAGCCACAGAGTTAGAGCTATATGCTCAGAAGAAGTAATTGAAGATGAATTAAGCATTGTATATGATACTTTGATCGAAAATAGCTATCCCGATAAATTTATCAAGAAACACATGACAAAGAAAGCGGAAAAGGACAACTCACTATCTGTAAACAAGAAGCCACTTTATATACGATTACAATTCAAGGGCGATATATTAAGTGAGATAATTACGAGGAAATTAAGAAAATCAGTTCAAAGAACTTTTAATGCTGGCGAACTACACGTATTATTCTCTACACGACCGATGGTGTTACCTCGACTGAAAGATTAAGTACTTAGACTAGCCACTTCAAATTGTATCTACCAATTCAACTGGGCTTGTGGTGGAGCGAGTTATATCGGCCGTTGCTCTAGGAACTTGATTTTTCGTGCTCGAGAACATCTCCCACTATGGTTAAGTAAAGGTGTAGTGAAAACCATTAACAGTTCGATATTGGACCATCAGGTGCAAACCAGCGACAAAGCCAGCGTGGAAGGATCCTTCTCTATAATCTACCGGGTGCCTAATAAATTGCCAAAATCATCGAAGCACCGCATGCTCCAAACAGCAGAGGCTATTGCAATTCGCCTCAAACAACCAGTGCTCCAGCCCATACTACTGCCCTGGCCTTCAGTAGAGACTATAAATTCATGAATTTGTACTATTATCTTTCATAATTCTTCTGACATTCAGCTTATTTTATGTTGATGCTGTTCAGCTGTAATCTATCAATATTATTGATTCGATGTTATTTAAACAGCATTAATGTTGTTCATAACACTAATTCATTCATTCACTATAATGTGTATATATATAACTGTAGAACCTGATGATGAAGTTATCGAAAAGAGTACTCTTTGTTCAGTGTTCATTCTTTTGAAGTTAGAATTCTCAGGTAATTGAATTCCAGTCCAGGTGGCTGAACGGCCAACCAACTGACCTCATAAGTTGAAGGTCCTGGGTTCACTCCATGGTAGGGTCATGGGTACGCACTTTTGAAGAGTCTGAAACTAGGATGACACACTTGCCCAATGCCCCTGGTCTGCAAAGATTCTCTAAGTAGTATTGGTTCATGACGAAATCTAAAGTGTAATATTTCAGAGGTATAAAAACACTAAACCTGAACACTGAGGTACATAACAACTAAAAATGCATAAAAGGGATGGTATGTAAGTACGATTAAACCAGTGATATAAAGTATTCATCTTAAAAGAAAATAATGAAATGGAACGTATTTTATCACTATTCATCCAATCTCTTGGGTCCTCCATGTTACCCTCGGACGCACCCAATTCGTCGTTTCTTATTCATGTTCCATTCAAGCGACGGCATGGCGAAAGATGTCATTCGACGGTCTCTTCTGAGTATGTCCTATCTCTCTGCATTTTCTTCGGAATATTTATTAGGCACTAGGTTCTTCGTTGGTTAGTTTCCAGAGCTTCTTGTGGCTTATCCTTTCCGGCCACCCGTCTGATTTTCAATATGGAGAGGAGCCAGATGTTGACATATTAAGAAACCTGTTGAAAATGCTTTCCGCGATGCTCGCTTCAAATCTGTGAACCACATATAAGAACTGACAGACTTAATAATAGTGTTGAAAATCCGAGTCCAAGAGAATTCCACTTATTTGAGATTAACGAAAGTCTGTCTTGCCTTTTCCATCCTGATTGGCTTGACATCCTTATCCGCACTATCGCCTATAGTTGAAACGATGCGATCTGGATAAGTGAAGGGTGTAACCTCTTTCAAATCTCTTCCATTGATAGTGATTGGTGCTGGTTGTTGTTACTGCTGGTTGGTTGGTTATCTTCACCACCTCCGTCTTCTCTATGTTCATCACCTGAATTCTTATCTTTGTTGCTTCTTCTGCCAGTTTTCACCTCTAAGTCTTCAAGTTTCTACAACTTCAGACATAAACCATCCGCGGAGTCCAGGATCTGCTAGAGTCTTCTTGTCGGTCCAGCGTATTCCCGTCTTCTCGCTCCCCACTTACAGTGCGCTGCATAATCCAGTTCACCTCAATCAGGAATATTATCGGAGGTTATAGTCGCAGTCTTCTTTGGCTGACTTCTGTCTTCACTTTAAAGGTTTCATCGAGTTTTCCGCTGTGGTTCATTTGACATATAGCACTATCATATAGTTTCAACTATATGATAGTGCTATATGTCAAATGAAGGTACGTCGGTGGCATAGTGGTTAGGACGCTCGCCGACCATGCACATGGTCCGGGGTTCGATCCCCGGCCGCCGACGCACTCCTTTACCTCGCTAAGGCAGAAATAATTCTGGTGAAGAGGAAAGGTTGGGCATGAGGCTAGCAACCCCATCCTGTAAAATAAACACTGCTACAGAGACTTCAAGCCATTAGCTTGAAGCCCTATGTTCCACTGGGGAACGTGAAGGAAAAAGAAGAAGACTATCATATAATTTACTGAATGAGGTTATTTAAGTGCAACTATCTGAGTCCTTCACTAATGGTCTTTTTTCACTTTTTTCTCACATCCACTTTGTCCTTTAGTATTTCCATGTACTGAAGTGTTTACTGTACACTCCAGCCAGCAGTTAAACAAGTAATATTATATTGGAAAAAACTGAGCAGAAGGTAAAATTTCTATTGTCCCCCAATGATACTGAAAACTCATTTTGTTTAGTAGTGAACACATGAGTTTATGAATAAAATTCCACACTCCTAACTATAGTATTTTTAGCAATGAATGAAATGAAACGAAAATGACCTCGAAATAGTATTTGATGATCAAGATTACACACCTCAATACATAATAAAATAAAAACGATAAATGCGTTTCATTGAATGGAGCTAAAAGATTTTAACATGGTAAGGAGAAATTGACTAGTGTTAAGCCGGGGCGGGGGAGAAATATCACTGACCAGTGTTTTCTAATGTAAGTATGATGGACTAAATATGCACTCGTCATCTAGATCACGGGGTCATGTCAATCAATTTCTGTTGGTACATTGTTAACTAGTCAATCAGAACACAGTTTTTTAGGCACTAAACTTGTGAGTTAATTGTATGCGAAAATGAATTATATAAATACAGCTACACTTTCTGTATATTTGCCTTTTCCTAAAGAAAATCTCGCCTTTACAGTCTGTCCTGTCTTTTCATAGAAGAGAGAGAGAGAGGGGGAGAAAATAGTTTTCGAGTGGTCAGTCATATACAATACTGTGGATTGAAATACTTAATCAGTAGGTAACAGCAGTCATCCTAGTTTGCAAGCGGAAAGCTGGAAGGCAAATCAATTATCATTCAATCACTTCAGTTGTAATGATTGATTATTGAAGAAAAGCATTATACTTATACATTCTTAGTTACACTAAAGTCCGTTGTGGATAAGATTTTATTTTGATAAATCACACAGTGTTGTACAGTAATATTATTTACTGATGACAACGTTTCGAAAACAAACTATTGCTCGTAATCATATCAAGTTACTCACACATTTTTTTTCTTTCATTTATATACATGTATGGAATCGATTAGATATTGGAATAAAAATCAATGTAGGATAATGTACATTCAGAATTATTAATATGAGTGTTATTGATCAATTACAATCAGATGGGAAATAAGATGAGTGTTTTTATAGTCAAAATAAGTAGCTTGTTAGAATGTTATAATGTATGTGAATTGAAATAGAATTTCGAGATTATTTATTATCGTCCTCTGATTTGACCGACTGGTGGTAATAATATCTTCCATATTTCTGGTATTTGCATTGAGTCACTTCTATTGCGCATGTGTTGGGTGTGGACTCGATCAACCAGGAAGGATTCAGTAATCAATCTCTCTCTCCACTTACACAGATTACTTCCTAGAATTTTAACCGTCTCCCACCCTATTGTGTCATTGTGTGTTAATGCATGCAGTGCAACTGCTGAGTTTTTTTCTAAATTACTTATCTTCTCGGGGTCAACCATTCTTACCTTAGCTAAATTCTTATGTTCCGATAGCCTGACTACCTACCCTCGACCTACTAGTTTGACCTATGTAGTTGACCGTACTCACAGTCATTGCAAGGTATTTTGTAAATTATATTATTTTGTTTAATTGGGTCCACTGGGTCTTTTAGCCTACAGAGATTACTGAATCCTGGTTCATCGAGTCCACACTCAACACATGCAACAGAAATGACCCAACGCAAATACCAAAGATATGGAAGATATTATTACCACCAGTCAGTCAAATCAGGGGAGGATAATAAATAATCTTAAAATTCTATTTCAATTCACATACATCACAACATTCTAACAAGCTACTTATTTCGACTACAAAAACACTCGTCTTATTTCCCATCTGATTGTAATTGATCCATAACACTCATATTATTATTATTTCTGAATGTACATTATCCCATATTGATTTTTATTCAAATGTCTAATCATCAATTCCACTTATGTATATAAATGAAGGAAAAAGTTGTGTGAGTAACTTGATATGATTAGGAACAGTAATTTGTGCTCGAAACGTCATCAGTTGATATTACTGTACAACACTGTGTGATTTGTCAAAAAACATCTTACCTATAATGGAATTATAATAAGGTGTAGGAATTTAATAGTGGGGGTGGAGAGGAAGGGTAAATAATACAATTAGAAACAAAAGAAAATTGAGTATCCGGTGTTAAGATATATCAGGTCCATTGTAAATTTAGTGACTGAACAAACTTCTTCTTCTGTATGCAGAGTTCGAGATTTAATATGTGAATTGCCATAGCCTTTGCAGTTTGAAGAGATGTAATTCGTACAACAACAACAAAATTCGGATTTTCAATACAAAAGTCAAGTCAGTCAATTCTTCTATACTGATCAGAAACCTGGCGGGTCACAAGAATATTTTCAACAGCCTGTTGCAGACCTTTATCAACAACTGTCTTCGTTCTATACTGAAGATTAGATGGCCGGAAAGAATCACAAACAAGAAGCTATGGGAACAAACAAAACAGGAACCAATCGCCCAACAAATATGCAGGAGAAAATGGAGATGGATTGGACACTCGCTGAGGAGGCCGATGGGTGACATCGCGCGTCAGGCCCTCGAGTGGAACCCGAAAGGGAAGCGGCGAGTGGGATGTCTAAGGGTGGAATGGAGGAGATCGTGTGAACAGGAGTTGAAACAGTATGGACTAACATGGATGCAAGTGAAAAGTACAGGAGAAGAGAGATTCAAGTGGAGACGTGCAGTTGAAGCCCTATGTTTCACTAGGAACCCAAGGGAACAATAATAATAATAATAATTCGTACACCCTTAGCAAGATTCCAGCGTATTTTATAGATGACTTTGAAGTTGGTCTGGAGATTAGGTTAATGTCCCTTTTCCCGCAGCTGTATCCTGGAACACATGATCGAATCTGGATGCCAAGCTAACCCACACACCAACTTCAAAGTCATCTACAGAAGAATATGCAGGATTCTTGCTAAAACGGTATGAATCAAACTTCTTCAGAGCGTAAAATGATGCTGTTTATAGTCCCAATCTCTGCATACAGAAGAGGGAGAAGTTTGTTCAGTCACTAAATCCACAATGGACCTCATATGTTTTAACACCGGATACTCAATTTTCTCTTGCTTTTAATTGTATTATTTTCTTCCCTCGCGCCCCTTATTACATTCTTACCCATTATTGTCACTGCTGTTAAGTTGACTCTCATTCAATCCTGTCAGTTATATGACGTCATTCAATTTACTTATTTCCTTTTATTTCAGTTACTACCCGAATAACTATATTTTGTTGTTGTCAGGATAAAGAAATGAAGAGTAAATCGACTATCATGTTCCAAGCATAATTAATTGTTTAATTCACTTTGGACTCCTTCCTGTTGATTGATTGGACCGAAGTGCTCGGCTTCAGGCTGACATGTCGGCTCTTTTTGCACAGATAATTCGACGGACGATGTCTGATTATTTAACTTGAAGTAAATTGGTGAATAATGGGGCTAGCAGCCGAATCCAGGATGTGACTCGTCATCTGGATGCTGCTGAATTCCCCAATCAGCAATAGTGTTCCTATTGACCACTCACTGCTGGTCACCATCCTCCCAATTTGCTCCAAATCAAATAATCAAACACCATCGAAACATCTGCACAAGGAGCTAATATATTAACCTGAGGCCAAGCACTTCAGTCCAATCAATCAACGGTAAAGTTCAAATTGAATTAAGTAATAACTCATACTCGTTGCACAAGTAATGGATCTTGTGGCCCAAGTGGTCTAGTGGATAACACTTCGGCGTTTGAAACTATGGACACCGGGTTCCAGCCTCAATAAGAACACCATCACTCACTGGGGAGTGCAGCTACATCCAGAGGAAGCGTCACAAATAGGACAGTCGAAATGCACATTCTGGATCCCAATTCTAATCACCACTCACCAATTTACAGATTCACTTTTACAAAGAAGTAAGGAGATCCAAAAGTAATCTAATTGTTGGTTTATAAGGATGACAAAGGCAGCTAGTTAAAAAGACAGAAAATTGAGTAAAATGACAAAACCGTACTATTACTTATTTACCTGATTTGCCTAAGGCAGTCATATCACAATATGGACATTTCATTGTATTAATATGCCTTTTCATATGCGTAGCCAATAATCTCTGTGTACTAAATAGTCGTTGACATCGATTGCACTTTACAGGTTTAACTGAATGATGTATATTCACCTTCGCAAGAAAGAAAATTAATAAATTAAAATTGTGACGTGTTCTACTGACAAGATTTATAAGTAGTATATAGATACAGACATAAATATACCTCTGTAAGAGGACAGATATAAATATATCTCTGTAAGAATAAGGGGAAAGATGGATTTGATGGTGAACAAAAGAAATGAACGCTGCTTGTGGTGAGACAACATGGAAGACGTGAAAGGTGGATAAAAGTAGCAAATTGTAATTTTAATGTAAGGTACACATGTTTTGCCTATATCTGTATACCGAGTTGCCAAATACTTCCAATTTGTGCCGTTACAAAATCAAAGGTTTTACTAAAAACAGTGACAATCTACACGAATTGGTCAATCAGGGAATGAGCAATCTCATATATATTGGGATTGAATTATATCAGTCAAGTTCACAATGTAGTCCCACTTTACGTTAAGTGCACAGCGATAGCAATATCGCAGAATGACTCATATAGTAATTCAGTCATCACGGACACTAAGGGCCAGATATATGACGTTAGTAACGTTCAAGTGTCCGGTCACTTTATCTACTTCAATCCCACAAGAGGTCAATCACGACGCCAATAGCTCAGTGACGACCCCACACATGACGAGGGTTCGAATCTCTGAGAGGATATCAATCTCTCCAGAGTGACTGACTGGTTTGCACATAAATGCACCAGTTCAAGTTGCCAGACTCCATGTACCACACATAGGGAGAAAAAAGATAGGAAAAAAGAAGATTCATGAGAACGATAATAAGCAGGTATATGAAAGAGAGAGACTAGTAAGATGGAAAAACATTAGGGTTTAATGGATAGTGGGAGATGGTAAATATTGAATGCATCTTCGCCAATGACACAGATTTTGAACCATATCCTCGATTGTCTTCAGCTATTGGTTCTTATAATCCCGAGGACACCTACCAGGAAGCCTACACCTCCCTAAGTGACTGGCTCAGACTAATTGTCAAAGATTTCATGAACTGACTCTGAATTCGTTTTGACAACCACTGGTCATTATCAACGGAAGAAATTTGAAAGAGGTCACTTCCTCCACTTATTTAGGCACCATCGTTTCAACTACAGGCGATAGAACAGATGACAATGTCAAAACCAGAATCAGAAAGGTAAGACAGACCTTTATCGCCCTGATGAAATCAGTCTGGAAATCTTCTTCACTCTGTCAGCGCATAAAGCATAAAGAACAGAATTCAGGTTTTCAACACCAATATCAAGTCAGTCAGTTCCCTTTTGTGGGTGATAAACTTGGCGGGTGCATCACAAATTGAATTTCGAACAGGTTACTACACTCTTTTATCGGCAGCTGCCTCCACTCCATACTGAAGATCAAATGGCTGCTAGGAAGAATTATCAACAAGGAACTCTGGGAACGAATCAATCAAGAGCCTATTGCTCAACACATATTCCGAAGAAAATGGAGATGGGTGGCGGCTTTTGAATGACATCGTGCACCAGGCCATAGCTCGAGTGGGACCCAAATGGAGCGAGAGTCCGAGGGTGATATGGAGGAAATCGTGTGAGGAGATGAAAGACTATGGGAGATCGTGGGCCTAGCCAAAGAGGACTGTATAGAGCAGGACAAAGTGGAGACGTGCTATTGAAGCCCTGTGTCCCACTCGGAACCGAAAGGAACAACAATTATACATATTCAGCGAATTTATCTATGGAAATTAAAATGAATGGAAGAGCAATTACATAACAGAGTATCGTTAAACACACCGATGAATTCACTCCTGAAATAATGATTAGAAACAGACAATGGATGTGGGCTTCAGTACAATCACTGGGGGGGGGGCGGAGGTTAATTTTGAGGAAAGAGAGACGCTTCCATGATAATTTATTTACTGAATATATTACATAGTAAAGCAGCATAATTTACTGTATGACACGCTTTGAATACGATTTATCGTTCATAATCATATCACCACTGATACGATGATGAACAATAAATTGTGTTCGAAACATTATTCAAGTATGTAATACTGTCACTGCTTTATATATCTAATAAATGAATTAATAATGAATTGCTGCTACATTACCCAAGTTTTACATACATAAAAAACATGTTTTGTCAGAACGACTGGATAGAAAGAAACAACCGTAAGGGTGATGAAAGTAGGGATGAGAGATAAACTTTCATCAAGTCATACTGCTTAACTGTACAGCTTTTCGTATGTGCTTAGTTTTGTGTTCACCTACCTGCCAAATGTACAATTTGCTGCCTGTCCCCAGTAATCAAATCAGTAGTCCAATTAAAGACATGCAGCTAAAACAGTACTCGCATTCAAGTGAGATTTAAGGGATTTATTTTCACTACAGTGTAGATAATGCCCCATCTCCTAACAAAATGGATGGAAATAACCACCACACCACTACAGGAAGATTTGCGCGGCTACAGTAACTGATTACAAGCAACCAGTAATTGGGGTCAAGAGAGAAAAATGCTCCTTTACTTGTTTGGGAAGTTCACATTTTGGCTCAAAATGCACACCAACATACTTTCGTGTATATGAGCTGGCTTCATTGAATTAATGAGACCAGAATGATGGTGCAAAACACAGCTTGCAACGATCACTGATGTGATCAACTATCACAAACCATATTTAAAAATGTATGGCACTTACAAGTGTCAAATTACTGCAATGATAAATAAACGAGGGACTCTGGGAAAGAATCAATCAAGAAACTATTGCCCAGTATATACACCGAAGGAAATGGATTGAGCGAATACTGAGGAGACTGTTGTGCGACATCGTACACCAGGCCGTCGGATGAAACTCGAATGGGAAAAGGTGAGTTGGACGTCCAAGGGTAACAAGTATGAGATCGTGTGAAGGGGAAATGGAAGCCTATGGGCATCCGTGTGGCTAGCGAAAGACGACTGCAAAGGACAGAATGGAAGGTAGATTTGGTGGTGAAGCCCTATGTCCCACTCGGAACCCAAGGGAATAATAATAATAACGATAATAAGAGTTACTGCAAAAAATGGTGATAAAAATTTTAGCCAGTGGTGCCTAGTGTTATATTGTCTGGACAAAAAACCCCACTTACATTAGCATTCTTCCTTAACAAATGGACTTGTTGACGTTTGAGATGGTCTTCTAACTTTCGAAAATTAACAACTAACAGACCACATGTAGGACAGGCTGCACGTTTATTCTGAGTATGCGTATCCAAATGACCTGTAAGATTTTTTAAACGACGAGCTACATAAGTACAATCCTCCCATAAACATTTCAATCCTACACCCTTCGGATAACGAGAATCATTATATTCCTGAAAAAGAAAACAGCAGAATATAAAACATTAAAGTAATAGGAGATGGTAATTACGCCAGAAGTTGCGTGATTATTACTCAACTTATAGATTTTTTTCCTATTTAATTTTAAGTGCAATTAAACTTTTTATTTATTTAAAAATCAGCACACGAACAAACAATTGTTAGAAATGACATATGTTAGAGATCCGTGAAAAACCAGGGAACACTGGACAGTCACTTCGTCGTATCTTGGGTAAGCTCATCAGTGGAAAGTAATGACCAGTGGGGTCCACTTGCTGCTGGATTCAACATAGAACTTGGCACCAAAGTGCAGCAGTTCGAGTTGCCACGTTCCAAATAGCACACAAAGGTAGACAGGAAAATGAGAGAAGAGAATCAATAGAATTTAGATAAGTATAAGAGTGAAACAGAATGAGTAATGGTAGAAAGGAATATGAAGGTTAAAGAGACTGAATACATCTGCGTAAGCCAGTGACAACGATTTTGAGCCATGTCACCTATTGTCTCCAGCCATTGATTCTTAGAGTCCCGAGGGCGCCAACCCGGAAGTCTGCATCTCCCTACCTGACTCAGTTTAACTGTCAAGCATTTCATGGATTGATGCCATGTTTTTGTTTGGCCACCACTTACTCTTTTCCAACCTGCACCTATATCAGCTAGTAATGCCCGCCGGGAGAGGCGATGGTTAGGCATGCGCAGCACGTGACCTAACCATCTCAATGTATGTAACTTTATAGCCTCTTCGATTGATTTTCCCACTTTGCCCAACACTCTACGCTTAACGTCAATATTACTTACCTTATTATACCACCTAACGCGAGAAAGAGATCGTAAACATCTGTGGTCAAAAACAGACAATCTCTTCATGTCTTCCGCTTTCAATGGCCACGTCTCACCGCCATAGAGAAGGATGGAGCGAACTGCTGAGCAGTATACAAGTCCCTTGGTTGACAGCCGGATGTCACGCCTACGCCAGAGACGGTGTAAGTTAGCGAAAGCGGCCCGAGCTTTCTGGATCCGTGCTGTGATTTCGTCACCAATCAATCCGTTGGTGCTGATACAACTTCCCAAATAGGTGAAGTGGTCAACATGTTCTATCACTTCACTCCCTATCACTAAGCTAGGAGTTGACGTAGTCCAGTCCTGTAGCAGCATCATACATTTCACAGGGGCGAATCGCATGCCAAACATACAAAGATTGCTGCTCAAGGTGTTCAGAAGACTCTGCATTTCTTCAGCGTCCTCCCCTAACAGGACTATGTCGTCTGCGTATTCTAAGTCTATAAGACTATACCCTGGTAACAAGTCGATTCCTAAGTCGTTAAGTTCAGTTAAGGATACTTCCATTAGCATATCTATGATGAAGTTAAACAGAAAAGGGGAAAGTGGACATCCTTGACGGAGTGGGGTCCACCATATTAAGGTGAAGTGAATTCTCAGCAAAGGTACTGGTGAGGGCTGTCCTATATCACAAGTTGGCAAGGTTAGAATTCATGGATTACTGGATTCCAGCCCAGGTGACTGAATGGCCGACGAGTTTCGTCCCGTAACCTGAAGGACCTAAGGATGTTAGAAAATCGTTATTCAAAACTTAGTCTTTTTTAATTGTTCCTCTGTTTTTATACCACTACTTATCACACAGTACAGTAAGGCGCAGTGCAAAGCCTCAAATCGATGTGTCGACTTTCATAATGCTACGATAGAACAAAATAACAATATAAAGTAGGTCTCAGTAATCATACAAAGAATGATAAACAATGTCTATCCTCCGCATAAAAGTAAACTTACCTCTGAATGCTTTGATACATGATCAATAAATACGGAAACATCGTTGGTTTTAAAATCACAGTACTCCCAACCACACTCAAATTTAGTTGGGAGTTCAGGTATTGAATTACACGACTTTGAATCACACATACAAGATGGCCAATCATTAATTGACAAGGAATGCTTTCCAACTACTTTCAGATGATTGACCCAAGAATGAAAATACGAGTGCCTTTCAATCTCATCCGGATCAGATACATTTATAGGAGAATCACATATTCCACAGGTGGGATGGGACATACGCTGTGACACTTGTTCGCATAATGACTATAAAGGAAATATAAAATATATATATAATATCACATATCTCATCTAAATTTTCGGAGATTTTGAAAAATCTACAAGTAGGAAAAGCTAGTGGCGATTGTTTAGGGTAGTGTAAAGGTGAAGCATATTAACATCCCTTAAGACTTTCGCAATCGACGTAGTGACTAAAACCAAAAAGTTGATATAAGAGATTGTGAAAAAAAATAGTGAATTAGGTTATAATTAGTATAAGAATAACAATTAAGAATGAATTCATTTGTTCTACTATTGACCATTCTATTATTTTACAGCATCTACTGAGAGCCGATGACTGTAAAATTGCTCACAGTGGCGAAGATGAATTTACTCTGTGATTTGCCATATCTAAAAAAACCTATAGTTTTTCTATGTTACTGTTCTTTCTCTCCTTCACATTTCTGCTTATTATTGTTCTTTCCAATCTCTTTTGTCTTCCTTTGTGTGCTTCATGATATGGTAACTCGAACTGGTGCACTTGTGTGCAGAGTTCTATGTTGAAATCAGTCACTCAGTCAGTCAATATCCAGTAACTTAAACTTACAATCTGGTATTTAAAAGACCCTTATCCAAAACGAAACAATCGTGCCTCTTGCACAATTCCAGATATGTCTCATTTCCTGAAGGACTTGATTTTTAACCAGTTGGTCTCAGGTCCAAACATCTGTTTACAGGCTTCAGATTAGGAAACTGAGGTGTTAAAAACTCCCATATGCTGCATAATTTTAACCGAATAAACGAAAATGAGTATTGAATCAGTGAGTTTTTAGGGCAATTTGAAAACTTTTAAGTTGTTAGGTCATAAGGGAATTGTAACGTGCATCGATACTAGGGTGCTTCACAACCTACTGAGACACCAGTGACTTGACAATACATATCATTTGGGTCGGGTAGTATCAAATGTGGGCTCTGCAACTAGAATGTAATCGACAATAAGAATAATGGGAGATGTTGAGTCCGCTGATTATGAAAAAGTTAATATACGCTTTAACTATCCACATTCGAATAAAAGAACACGGGGATATCTATGATTGAAAAGTCATCTAACTAGATGGAAATATGCGTTTAGTTATTTTGGAAATGCCGTATGTAGACATTATCATCTTTAAAAAATTAGCCTAGGTAATTAACCTACATCCCCGTCAGAGAAATTCTTCGTGAACATAGACAAAGTGGGTGAAAATGTGGGCAATTTCCCTTTCAAAATGAGGTAAAGTGGACTACTTTTAGAAATAACATGGATAATGTGGGGAAAAGTGGGGTTCAAGGTCAAGGACGTGGGCAGGAATAGATAAAAGTGGGTAGGAACATGGTTGAAATGGGTGTTTTGTTGTGGGCTTTACCCACATGCCAACCGATCAAAATTATCAGCTTTTCTCACGTATTTCCCACTTAACCCGTGTGCATTCTCCGACTGATACTGTAGAAGGGTGACTATGAAAGTAAAAATGGCCAATAACTGCACACAACGAGCTATGACGTTTTGCATTCAACATACAGTTTTACAAGAAGTGACAAAACTAACACTATACATTTTTTTTATCCTTCACGTTCCCCAGTGGAACATAGGGCTTCAAGCTTGTGGCTTGAAGATTCTGTAGCAGAGTTTATTTTACAGGATGGGGTTGCTAGCCTCATGCCCAACCTTTCCTCTTCACCAGCATTATTTCTGGCTTAGCGAGGTAAGGGAGTGCGTCGGCCGGGGATCGAACCCCGGACCATGTGCATGGTTGGCGAGCGTCATAACCGCTATGCCACCGACGCACCAACACTATACATATTTATTGTTAAAAACACTAGTTGATAACATCAAGTGTTGATTGATGCCTGTATTAAACCATCTACCTGTATCTTCTTTCAAAAGTAATTACTGAGTTAGTTTAAACTGATTACGATACTAAGCTAAACAATATCAAGTAGCAAAACCTACTTTGAAGTGTTGTAGCTGGTGACGTTTGAGTGAATTCTTGTCATCAAAGGAGCTGGAGCAGTCTTTCCATTCACAACAATATGAAAGTTTTGATTTGGAAACCAGAGACTTTCTACCTCTCTGCATTTTTATGCTGCGCCATTAATTAAAAACAAGAACCGAAGTAGGAAAATCCTCATCTAATTTAAATCTAAAAAGTAAAAAAAATAGAATTTACTACTCATGTGTTGCGTCGCTTAATCAGTTAATTAAGAAGCCATATATCATTCTGTGATCATAGGGGGATCACCCTGGCTGAAGTAGCATATATATATATATATATATATATATATATATATATATATATGATTCTAAATCCGGCAGACCTGCGAAAACTGAGTAGGTCAGGTGGGTTTTAGGACCGGATGGTGTAAAATTTACGGAAGATGTCAAGGTACAAACGGAGTACTGCTAATCATCATGAACCGTATAGAAAGAATATACAAACTTTTGGATGATGCAAAGAACCCAGACGTCAACAGTAGGCCCTATGATATCACAACTGTCGACACTCTTGAAATCCCGAAAGAATCAAGAAAGTGGCGGATAGACTGTCACACCCCTTAGAGTTCAAAAACAAACTATCCAATCTAGAGTTCTGCAGGAGTATTGTAAAACAGCTGAGCGCTCTAATGGGTTCTAATATACGAATCCCTGTACATCAGATAATAGATTTCATATTCGATCTGACACAGCGTGCTATTTCCGTGGTATTTCATCAATAGTAAGAGTCCATCCAAAAAATCTGGATTTCTAGTTTCGTCTTATGTAGGCCCTTATTTTTTATTGTACCCTACATGTATCGTGTACAAATTCTTTCACACCGTAGACAGGATGGATAGCACAACACCCAGAGTTCACTTAATAATAGCCGTGAAAGGCTGAAACCCCGTAGTCAAGAACAGAGACCATCTGTTTTATGTGCAGACTTCCCAGTCTTATTATTTTCATGAAGGTAAAGAGAAGTTTAAGCACACAGAAAAGCATGCTGCTAGTCAGCTTTCTCTAGTTTTAACTTCATCGGGCTCTTCTCAGTCCTAAAGCAACCGATTTCTCCCCCCTCATGGCAACATACGCTGCCAAATAGCCACTTTTTCAACGAACTAATAAGTAAATGATCTTAGGGAGGTGCAACATTTTCCCCTTAAATATACCTCGAACCACCCCCCCAAAAAAAAAATTAATTTCGCTACTTTCCCACTTATGTCACATCTAATAGTTTGCGAAATATCCAATTTTTAGGGGTTTATTCATGCCTTACCAAGAAAAGTGCTATATTAGCCATTAAGTTAGACATAATTTAATCTTAATCATATACGGCTATACGTTACAACGTATAATTAATTGTTTTCGCTTGTTATAAACAAAGATAGTTAACGGTTGACAACATCTAATGTTACTAGGCTATTAAGATATATTCTGGTAGTTTAGTTATAATTTTATATTCTTAATTAAGTGAGTAAAACCTAGTCAACACTTATTAACGCAAAAGACTTGCGAAAATGAATCTACCTCCGTTCCGCAATATTTGAATCTGTGGCATAACAGAAACTATAATTTCGAATGGTAGCATTCACTTGTTAAACAGTGCTCTACTTTACATTAAAAATGGGCTGTGCGGATACAGCCAGACATGCGAAGTCTTCATAAAATGATACCATGTTTAAAAGATAGCTTTTACATAGATAAGACTATTCGAGTATGCGATATTGCCTTCCAGTTATTCCATCCTGCTTGTTGGTCCTCAAATTTGAAACAATACGTTAGCCTAAAAATGCATATCTTTCTGAACAGAACGCTACTGTCACTGAGTTGGGCATTTCACACTACTGTGAAGAGCCGGGTATCCAAAAAACCTGCATTCAGACATACTCCTGGGATTGAATCGTTCTTGAAAGGTGCTACCCCGGGGTTTTTCACTACAATCCCAACATCTACGCCACCTTGTAGAATTGTCTTAGTTACAAAAGTTGCCACTTGCCCATCAGAATAAACATGCGGCTCTACAACCTCGTGGTCTTTCATCTACTCTAACATGTAGGTAGTGGAACGATGATTTGGTAATCTCAAGCTGCTGACCCAATTCCTCCAGAGAATGCTTTTCATCCGGTGGATCTTCTTTCACTGTTTGTCTCTTGACATATTTTCTTTTTAGGGAGAAGACAGTGTGCCACTAGCCCCAGTAGGTTAGCCGAAGAAGTTAACGCAGGCACGATCTCCCTGTGTGATTGGTTTACTAATATGGCCCACACTAAGTCCACAGGTATCGCAGATCCAATATCCAATATCCTGATTACGAGCTAGTATAAACCAGCGATTTCTTTGAGCTCGCTTCTTGATTGTAAGGTAGAGGTTCCAGATCTTTGGTGAACTTATGCGTGGTAAATCCCGCCACTCGACTGCTTTAGCTCTGGTAGACTCCAAGAGGAGTGGTGCGAGGATTGGTCAAGATGTGGTTTGTAGTGTGCAGTATGTTAGGACTCAGCTCGTGAATGGAGTTTGACCTAACTCCCGTTGATCATTCGGTGTAGTCATAGAAGCAGAATAGTAATAATAATAATAGGTTGTAATGTAGATAATATAGGTTGAGATAAGTGAAATAATAAAGGTGACCAAAGAAAAGATAGAGTAGTCGGTACAGTGGGAGAAGTCAGAATGGGTCGTGGGGATTTAGCTTGTATGCTTATCCATTGACAGTGTGGTTTTAAATTTTAAGAGGACAAGCCATTGAGACACAAACCTTGTATTTCTGTATGATTCTCCAGCTTCCACTTAAAAGTCTCCACAGATGGCGCTATAATCACGGCCGCAGGTAAGGCGTTCCAGAGACGGCAAACTCGAAGCGAAAAGAAATGTGAACGCACTCGAGTCTTTGGTCTCTGGTGTGCTATCCTTAGCGGGTTACCTCGTGGAAGCCTATAATCACTTAATGGTAGGATTCTTTTATTAGGGTGGGCCTGGTCATTTAAGATCTTATAGACAGTGATGAGGTCTCCCCTGTGACTACGGTAACTAAGTGTGAAAAGACTTAATCTCTTCAGTCTTTCCTCATATGATTTGTTGCGGAGGCCGATCACCCATTTTGTCGCTCGTCTCTGGACACTTTCTAGAATGTTAGCATCCCTTTTGAGTAGCGCAGGGGCAATGATATTATGCACCTCAAGGAGTGGCCTCACGTATGTCGTATACAACCTTAAGAATAGTTCGGGAGTAAGAGCTCCCAGTTGTCTATGCATAAAGTGTAAAGTTGCGTAAGCTTTGGCGACGTCCCTCGTGTAATTTACACAGGTGTCTAGCTTTTCTTTTAAAATAAGACCTAGGTCGCGTTCTGATGGCACACAACTCAACTTCTGGCCACCAAGGGTGTAATCTACACTCTGTGACCTGCCGGAATGAAGTTGCACTACTTTGCACTTCTTTAGGTTGAAAGGCATTCTATTAGCCAGAGCCCAGTCTCCCAGAGTTTGCAGGTCAGCCTGCAATCTGTCTGAGTCTTCCGATGAGTTTATTGCTCTCCAAATCTTTACGTCGTCAGCGTAAAGAAGCGCAGAGTAGTTCAGTTGACAGGGCAGGTCGTTGATAAAAATCAAAAACATCAACGGCCCTAAGATAGAACCCTGAGGAACCCCTGATGCCGAGGTGTGCCAGGATGATCGGATGCGGTTGACTTTGGTGCAGAATTCTCTCTCGCCTAAGTAGTCTTTCAGCCATGCGAGAAGTGCTCCAGAAACATCCGCCGTGCTTATTTTGTGAAGGAGCAGACTATGGTGAACTGTGTCGAATGCTTTCGCAAAGTCGAGAAAGATCACATGGACTGGTACCTTTGCATCCCAGTATAGTGTCCAATCGGTCCAAGCTAGTAGAAGATTCGTCACACGGGATCTTCCCCTCCTGAAACCGTGCTGCGCTTCATGGAGTAGGTTAGTCCCGTCGAAGTATTTTCTCAAGTGGTCGTCAATGAGACTTTCCAATATCTTCGATATCACTGGAAGTAGCGCAACTGGTCTGTAACTGGTCGCGTTCTGCCGGTCACCACCCTTGAAGATAGGGGATAGGATGGCTCGTTTCCATTCACACGGAAGCTTCCCTACATCAAAGGAGTGTTGAAACAGATCACTTAGGGGTTGGCAGAGACTTTCTGAACACTGCTTCAGGACGGATGGTCTTATGTCATCGCATCCTGCAGACTTTCCCGAAGCCAGCTTTCCCAATTTTACGAGTACCATAGCCGGGGTAATTTGATTGCAAGCTCCCTGGCTGGTCGGTTTTCTTTCAGACATAAACCTGTATAGGCTTTTGGGGTTCACGAGAATCTTATTGGTGAGGTTTCTCTGAAATGTCCTTCTATCACTCCGGACTCGTATGTAACATCGATTCCTGAATTCAAGGTACACTTCATGTTCGGGTTGACTCTTCGATACTCGCCAAGCGAACCAGGCTTTTCGCTTCGCCTGTAGAAGGCGTTGTGTCCTCCTTTTTAGCCATGAACGTTGCTTTCTAGCTTTTGGTGTGACTAAAGGAACAGTGTCTGAGACCGCCTGGTGAATGATCTCCTTTACCACTCCCCAGTGTTCTTCTACTGTAAGCTCTGTCCAATTTTTTGGCCAATTTGCTTCAGACAAAAGTCTTCGCATTTTGGTGTAATTAGTTTTGTTATAACATAGATAGGGCTGTGTATTGTCCTACTGTAAACGCTTGAGGAGGACTATGTCGAATGTTATGACCGCGTGGTCACTACTACCTATGGGAGTCGTGATCTGAACGTTTTCCACTAGTAGCTGGTCACTAGTGAGCACATAATGCAGTGTAGAAGACTTCCGATCTTAGCAGATGATAATAATAATTTATATTTCGTATTAATATGCAATCAATCAGTAACATATCAATTTACAAGTCTCGTACTCTGCTTGCCCTATCTTCGGGAGCTGTATGCTTTATCATCAATGCTATTCAAAATTGATGTAATTAAATGAAAGCTAGTCTTATCGAAGACGGGACTACTTTTGGTACACTTGGTACGAAGTTAACTGCTCATAAAAACACATAAAATGTTCATCTACAGATAAACAGTTTTTGATGACATCGTA